CATCCAACCCATACTTCCTTAGCTTGCCTGCAAGAATGTTGTGGGAGACCATATCAAAAGCTTTCCTGAATTTTCTAATTATTATTAAGTCCAGGTAATAATTATAACATGGCCATAACTTTTAATATTTTCCGTTTAAAAAAAATTGAAAGTCTAATTTTATATGTGGTGTTTTTCCCTATTTTGACAATGGCCCTGCTACATTAAGGATTAAACTATTATTGCTGGTATGTTTTTCTTGAAAAATTCAATGAAGGCACCATCTCAAGTCAAAGGTGAAATGCATAAGAATATCTGCTTTTCTCATGTTCTTGTGCAAACTAGCTATAAACAGAAACTGAGACACCTCTGGTTAAAATATCAAAATGGAAAGTTAAAATGTTGTTAAAACCCTATGTCTTTAACTGGAAAATGAAGTCTTAGTGACTTAGGTAAGCCTTTATTTTTTTTTCTTGCAATAAAAATGGAACATATCCTATTTAGATAAAATGGAAATTAATAAATGATACTAGTTGTAAAACTTTGTTCCTATTAATAACAATTTTCAAAGAGCGCAGTTTTCCTGATTATTTTAAATATTATAATTTGAATTAAACCATATTTGACTCTACCACCTATTACCCAAGTACCACCTACTACCTGACTTCCAAAGAGTAAGATGTAAATCAGAATTCTTTTATCTTTCTGACTTTCTATAGTAGCCATTTCCTTCTTCCAGTTCTTTACCTGTCCCCACCAAGTCAACAAACCAATAATATTGTCCACAAGCCACTCTCACCAGTCCTTTCTAGAATACATTGAGGTATATTTTGGGTGTTATTAAAGAGCATTTATAGCCCAACCAGATACAGTTTTCATCAGGTTTCCTGGTGTTGATATGTGAGAAGGGAAGGGGAGGGGGGGGAAACAGCTTGACTTGCTTGACCAGCTGAAAGGAGAGTGTGAAGGTGGAAAATATTATATTGTTTATGTATATGATATAGATTTATTTTTTAAATTTAAAAATATTGTTCTTCATTCACTTCAGAATGTAAACATAGAACCTCACAGGCTTTCGTTTACAATCACGTTCAGAGGAGAGCCATACTTTAAATATTTATGAACTCCTGAGGTAACATTTCTTGTTCTTCATTACACCTAAATCACCATTTTATATATCTTCAAAGCGGCTTTCTCTAAAGTGAGTACTCTTCCACCAAAAAAATCCAAGAAGTAAGCAACACACACGCTAAAGAAATATAGAAATGTTAAATGCAAATAATCAAAATGATGAAGATTTAAACTGGATGGCATCCATAGCTTCTTTAAATTATTTTGTAAAAATAGAAGAAAAAGATGAGTGAAAAGTCCTAGGTACTCTGAGAGAATTTTCCTTCCTAGCTTTATCCAATGATATGCTATCAGAAGCTGGAATCTCTTTGATGAGAATCTCCTTCTTTTAACTATTTGGAAAATTGTACAAACTCTTTCTTAACACATCTGACTTCTGGCATTGGATTCCTGAGTTTGATTCAGCTGTGGTAATTTGTTTCTAGAAATCTTTTTTTTTCTCCTGTAGATGGCAACACCTCCTTGTCTGATCCATTTGATAGGACATTGATGGTTTCCTCACAGAGGAGATTATGTTCTCTAGATATCTAATACATTTTCAAGCAAGTAGGATGATTCAGCAGGAGCACACAAAAACATTAGTGCTCTTCTCCACGTTTATTCTTGAGTCAAAGATAGTGATGTAGAGAGAAGCAGATGCTATTTTAGCATAATCGCAGATAAAAAGAAATACTCCCTTATTTGAGGTTTGTACAGAGCCTATGACCACTGCGCTGAATGTTGATTCCTACGGCCCACTCCTCTCTGTTCACTCATCTTTTTCATAATTTCAAAGGACTATGTGGTTATATGCATGATTAAAATAGGGTTTTTTAAAACAAGCAGATGTTTCTTTCCTTTGAAGGAAATCTCTTTAATGAAAGTTGGCATTGAAGCACTTTTCAGCTTTAAACAAACCTTTCCTTCTACTCTAATGGAAAAAAAAAACTACTTAGATTTCCTGTCACACGGACTGCTTGTCTTTCAGAGGTACCCTATTAAACGTGTGAGCCTCTTAGCTCTGAATTTGACGATTCTATGATGCATCAGCCTCCCCTTAGTTCTTTTCCTGGAGGGAATGGGAACTAATATAATCAGAAAAATAGTACAGTCTACCACAGCTATTTTATGGAATTATCTTCTCTGTGGCCGCTGCTGATCTTTCCATCAGACCAGAGAAGAAGGACATATTTAAACAGTGCAGATTCTAGTCTTAACATGTTGGCATCCTGGAATGCTAAAGAAGTGAAGACACGCTTAGTCTTTTATTTGCAGTCCAAAATAAAAAAGTTGAAAGTATACCACAAATGTATGTCAAACAACTGAATGTTCTCTTCTTTACAAGAAAGTTAAGATCAGTGGTAATAACACTTCACCTGGGAAGCTTCTTATTTTTGTATGAGTTCTGTTACACATCCCAGTTGCCCAAGAGCATTAACATTTCCTGCACTTGATAATATTGACTTACCAGGACAGGCCTAAATCTCTTTCATTCAGGTTAGAGTCTACTACACCCCAGTTTTGTCCTGGCAATTAGTAGCAAATGAGAAAAATGTATATAATTGTCCCTATTGTTTTAATCCATCAAAGTCTAATTAATCAGTGGGGCCCAACATTTGTGATAGGCATGCCACAAATTAGCTCCAAGCCCTCCCCAAGTGTCACTCCAATCCCTTCCCCTGCCAGATATGCAGCTCTGCTTCCATTTCCTGCCCTATTTGCCACTGTCCTGCATCCCTTCTCCCCAGTTTGCTGCGTGCCACAGACACAGGCTGTCCATGCCACTTGTTGCATGCATGTCACAGGTTAGCCACCTCTGTAATTAATCATTTGCACAAGCTAATAAGTTCTGGAAAATGATTTTATAAATGTCAATTAACTTCAACTCTTGTACATTACAGGTGATGCTACAGTGACAATTACTCACAGATACACTCCAAAAGAGCAGCTGAAGATCCATACCCAACTGGCAGACATTATAGTAGTAGCTTCAGGTAATACTAAGTATCCTTGATACTACAGTAGCAGCTGTTAAAACCTAGCAAAGTGCTTGATTTCTGCAACTCTTATACCACTAGCTGTTTTAAATATATCATCTAAGTAGGTGAAAAGTAAAGTTTTTGGGGGGTGCTATATTTGATTGGATTGACACTATAGTTGGGAGGGGTGTTAGACAACTTCTTGGACACAGAGTGCCATTTTTCAACTCTAGGGAGGAGAAAGCTTGTCTAAACACTTCTCCCAATTACACAGTTGGCCCAGTAAAAATGTTATTAAAAAAATCTTGTCACATATTCCCTGGACCATCACTGCTACAACACCATACCAGTCCTGCTATCTAATTAGGTGGCATTCATGCTCTCTCAGGTGTTTCAGTGGGCCTACTTATTATAATTAAGATGAAATCTGGCCTTTTGCTTCTGCCTTTCAAATTTGCAGATTCATAAACTGTTGTCTCATCACATATGACACCTTTCCCTTAGGGAGACTTGAGAGTGAACTCAGAAGGGGAACCAGTCAGTGCACAGGTTATACAGGTATAATTATGTAAACTAAAATATTTTATGTACAGTAGTGAGTCATTCAGATTCTGACAGCAGGGTTTCCTTATATCAGCTAGAGGCCACAGTCAGATAACAATGTCTTTCTTGCTGTTCAAATGAAGGACAACCTTGGCAAATTTAATGCAGGTGTTTTAATAATATATATATGCATTGTTCATCTCTGCTTTATATGATTGCAGTATGCAGAAGTAAACAGGGTACTTGCCAAAAGAATGGAGTTTCTATAATTCATAACTTGAAGGTTCAGTGATTTGATATTCCTGAAAGTATGTAGGCAAAAATAATTAGGTTTTAGATTTAACTTTTTCTAAATGAAGAGAAAGAGTTCAGACTTTGTG